TGTGTGTGTGAGATTAAAATAGCCCAATTGCTTTGACAATAAATAAACATTGAATGTGTTTAATTGAATAGTAAAGGGGTTTAACGTTAGTGGCAGGTTGTGTGTGAGAGAGAATAAATAAGACAGCCCAATATTTTTTTTTAAATCGATAATTTTTTCCCGCATATTTAGCAACTTTCCACATATTTCGCAACTTCCCGCAGTTTCACTGCATAAAATCACATAAAAACCCCGCATGTTTAATCGCATAATCAAGGATTTTAGCCCGCATAATCAAGGATTTTTGCCCGCGCTTTTCTGGAGGGTCTAAATATGCAAGTGGCTGCTTAGGCTGCAAATACTGATTTTTTTCATTATAGAATAATCTGCTAATTATTTTATGGATTTTTCAATTAATTGTTTGGTCCAACACAAATATTGATTTCATATAAACAGAGAGACAAGCAGGAAATCTCCATATTTGAAAGGCGGAAAAAACTGCATTTTTTGTATGAGAAATGACGAAAAACAATCAACAAAAGAGTTGGCGATTTTTGGGATATTTCTAATAGATTTTGTCCACTTATCATGGCCTGTCTTTTTTCAATCCATTTTCACAGGACTTTGTGCGTGTGTGTGTGTAGATAAAAGGAAGAAAGGTGAAAGTGAGTCCAAACTGAGCAGAGAAGAAAATGTGATATATAGATGAGTGGATTCGTCAATATTAAACAGAGAAAGGCAGGCCAGGAAAACTCCATATTCGAGCGGCAGAAACACAGCATTGTCTGCCATTTCTGTAGGAGAAATTGCAATGTATCTATAGTCAAATACTTGTATTTTTTGTGTACTAGTTGGTAGATCTGCCTGACTCACAAGGCCCAAAAAACAAAAGCAATAATCTCTTGAGTGGCCGGTAAAATTCAGTAGCCATGTGTCGTCTGGATAAGGTGTTACAGCATTGGTTACGGCTACTTCCCACATGACCCAACAGATTATCTATTGTTCAGAACCTAAACTCATATGGAGACAGACTGATCAGATTCAAATCCATCCTTCCATAAATCTAATACCAGGAGTTTTTTAATCTCATCCTTGCATTAGGCGAGACATTGTTCCCAAATAGCCCCCTCCTCCTGTTACTAATCAATTGACATGCATCACACGTCACGTTAAATCCTGCCAGCAATCTGGGCGAACCCACCAGCACCAAAGCTGCTAGAGAGAGTTTGAAAACACACCCATCTCGGAAAGTATTATTTGAGGAAACATGTTGAGGAAATGAAAAATGAGTGGGAAAATAATAAGCGGTTAGTGTTTGTTGTGAGGAATTGCAGCAGACAGGCTCATGATCAGACCTGACAGCATAACACAAGGCAGCTGTTCATGGACGTCATCATCTTAATTTCTAATAAAACAGCATGAAGCTTTTCATGATAGGGTTTCTTAAGTACATTACTAATTATAATACGTTATCATTGATTGATTTATTCCTGGCAAATGATGAGCACATCTCTAGTTTAAGAGGCCCTATTACGCTTTTGGGGGGTTTCCCTTTCTTGTAGTTTGTTACATAGGTTTTAGTGCATGTAAATGGTCTGCAAACGCTCAAATCCCACCTAAAACGCCTCCATTGGACACCTTTGTTACTTCTGCAACATAATGACATCACTGTAACACTCACGCCTTATTGGCTATCGCTTTAACACATTGTGCGTGATAGGCTCAGTTGCATGACATCTCTACTGTAAGTGGTTGACCAATCACAACAGAGCCGGCCAGCTAACCAATCAGAGCAGACGGTGCTCTGGTTTCAGACAGAGTGTGAAAAGAGGTGCTGCAGCACAGGCAGTATGAGAAAAATAAAGTAAAAATACATTATTTTTATGTTTATATAAAAAAAATGTTTAACTGTATTACAAATGTTTCTTTAACTTCTAATGTTTAGAGAAATATTTGTATTTATCTTTTGTTTTTACTTTATTCTTAAATGGGGAGTTTAGCCCTAGAAATATCTGTGCTTCCTAAAGTCCAAGAGGATGTTATTCAACTCAAAGAAATGAGGTCTACTGTCATTGAGGAATGAATAAACCCAGTACATAGCCACCTTTCAGACGCTGGTATCAGAATATTTAAACTTTTTCCCCCTTGGAACCAATATGCTGTCAAAGAAGTTTGAGATTAAATGAAAAGTTGGATTTATTTTAGCAGCTCTAGTTAATATCAGCATGTTGGTCTGATTACTGAGGCACTTACTCTCGGCCAGTGTCTGTCATACTGCTGTTCACTCCTTCGTAATAAAACGTAATGAGTGTCACACCAAAAACCAAACCCTTGTCATCAGCGTGAAGGCAGGACGTGTGTGTTCCTCTGCTTCCAGTGTGTGTAGCGACCCACTCATGCTGATGGGCGTTGAGAGGAAGCTTTGATGCTGTGAATGGAGTACTAATGAGTTGGCCTTATCAATGGCCGGTCTGTATTCTGTCCTCCTCACGGCCAGAGCTGCTGATGCTCACGGCTTCATGTCAACATCTCAGCCACTTCAACCATCACATCTAGTTGGTTCATGTTGGACTACACAGGTAGTGTTGCAAGCGATTACCTATTGCATAATCGACTAATGTGAAGGAAGTGGCTAGTTTAGGTCTATTAAAGTGCTTTTCTGTTCTGGAATAATCCATTTTGCTTTCCAAAATAAGTCAATGATGTGGCAAACACATGACAGCACTGAGTAAGCTCAACTATCACCTGTTGAATAGTATACTCATGAAGCAGTGAGGATAATACTTATGTGTGTGGTCAGTGAAGTCACAGCTAACCACATTTTATTTATATATTAATATCAAATATATGAATTTTTTTATATATTACACATTTCTCACTCTACTAATGTTTATATTAATATTTGTAATAATTTTTATTTATTATTCTACCTGGAAATAAACACATCTCCTTTTTAAAACGATATAATGTGGTGCTTTTTTATGATTATTTGTGGAAAAACACAGATCTTTTATTTTAATTTGAAAGTGTTAGATTCAACCTATGCATGTATTCATGTTTTTTATTTATTATTTTATTACACGTTTCTTTCTGTTACTTCTAATGTTTATATAAATAATTGTATTCTCATTTTTATCTATTTTATTTTATTCTTAAATGGGGAGTTTAGTCTGTGTTTCCGAAAGTCGAGGATGACACCCTCAAATAGTTTTTTCCACAAGTCAAAGATATTTGATTTGTAAATGTTGCTGTCATAGAGGAGTAAATAAACCCAGAAAGTAGTCTCTTTTAAGATGCTATTATCAGAGAATGTATACTCTTTTTCCAGAAAACTAATTTAACAATTATCAAAATAGCTGGACATGTATTTGAAAGTTAACTAACGGATGCATCTTTGCAGCTCTTGAGAGGGAAGTGGCTTGTTTAGGTCTATAAAAGTGCTTTTCTGTTCTGGAATAATCTATTGGCTTTTTCAAAATAAGTCATTATGTGGCTAACACAGTAGGTGGGGCCAGTAGGGAATAACCAGGGCAGAAGGCCCAGAGAGCACTGAGTAAGCTCAAGCTATCACCTGTTGAATAGTATATTACATTAATATTAATTAAGTTGAATATGTATGTGTCTGGTCACCGAAGTCACAGCTTTAACGACATTTAAACTATGTTAGGTAAACTGTGCGACCTAAGTGTTGCGGATGAACACTGAAAGCTGTCAGCAATGACAGAAAATATGTCTCATAGTAGAGCAGAACAACTGTTGCTTCAGGTAAGAAGCTGTTAATTAATGTGACAGTTTATCGACACATGGCAGTCTTACCTGGCTGAGGTAGTGAACAGTCAGGTCCGGCCGTGTCTCCTTTCACTGGAGCCGAGATGTATCCGTCAACAGCCTGGGAGGAGACCTTTCCCTCTGCCGTGTCACAACTCCACTAACGTGTTTACACCATACGCTGTCTCTGCATGGACCAAAGCGGCGACTTCAAAGTAGTGCCGCTTCAACTTTCCGCTGACGGGTGGTGTTAATATTTAATTTAGTTTACTTTCTTCCTTCTCTAGAACATCAGTCTCCCCCCTCTCCTTTCCTCTGCCAATTGGACGCTTCGCGACGAAACAGCTGAATTGAGTCGGGAGGAGAGGCGGACCGAGAGAAACACTGGCGGATGTTCACAGCGTAAAACTAATGGCTCTCTTAGTACTACTTCCTGGTAAGGTTTTCAAAATAAAACTCCGGTTGGAGTATTACAACTTTTCTTAGGGAAAATTAAAGAGAATATATGCTCGTCGTAGTGCAAATAATAAATCAGGGCCCTAATACTGACACTGGTCATACCCTCAATATTTTTCTTAATCAGCCTGTGAGGTTACACATTTTGGTGAGACCATTTATGTAGGCTATAATGGAGCCTACTACTAATACTTATTTTAGGCTAATACAAAGATGTTTCCAGACAACGTAGATTAGGCTTTTAGGCATACCATTTAGACTTTAATCTATTTAATTATGTAACTAATTGCTAGCAAATCAATTAATGTATTTGGATTGTGTTCTGATTTTGTGATAAATAAATTTGACATGCAATTTATTATTAAAATAGTCCAATAATTAGTGGAATGTTAGTCAAATCTAAGATAAAGGAAGTCGTAGAAATGCAAATACAATAATCGTTAATGTCAAATATCCTGTGCTTAAAGTCTGTAAAAACAAAACTATAATAGGACTTCCGGTTTCACACTTGTGAAAGTGGAGTTGTTCTTCTATGAGCCATGCAGTGGCGGCCTTTCCCTATAAATGTACGCCTAGTCAGACATCAATTACAAACTAATTAGTTTATATTTAAAAAGCCTTGCAGCAAATGTTTCATACCAACAAATAAAATCCCAAAAAGCCTAAAAGCAAGACACACTGAATTACGGATATTTTGTTGATAATCCCTTTCCTAGTTTTATTCCTCTTTAAACGTGTGAATGAGTGTCAAAAATAAGGACTTCCCTCCGAGTAAACATTATGATAATACATCAGGCTATTAAGTCAAAGTGTTTTTATTTAAATTAGAATAAAAAGCAAAAAAAAACTAAGAACCATGTATAATAGGTTACAGCCAACTTCAAAAACATTGATAGAGCTTGATGCATGTATTTTGTGAAGTTGAAAATAAGCACTTTATAAAAAATAGATATCTACATTGTAACATAATGAACATACAGTATGCATTTCCCAAAGTGGCTATGTGGTCTGTACATTTATGATATAAAAAAAGATCTCCGCCACTCGAATGACTGACGCAGGACTTAACATGATCTACTTTCTATGGAAAGATATGTGTGACAGGCTCTGAGGCCTTGAATGAGAATACAAAAAGGGAAATTAAGCGATAAATTAAATTAAATGTATCTGAAAAACGTTACCTATTAACGAGGTCCATTGTCAAAAGGATTTAGTTTTACCACACTGTACTTCTAAAAAAAAAATCAGGAGTGTGACAGCTGCCAGATGCAACTTCTGACCAACAAGAAATTATTTTCTTTACATGCTAATCTCATTTTTGGGTGTAAAAAAAACAATGTGCAACATTTAGAAAATATAACAAAGTTTACATAAAGTATGAAATGTAAGAAAAGGGTACCACCGTGAAATGAAAAAGGCCAGGAGTGTTGATAATATTCAGCCATGGGACTGGTTAAATGGGAGCTGGATCTATGATGCCATTTATTGCCGGGCAGTGTCAAAATAAAAGCCTGTTGGATTACATATAGGAGGGAGGGGTTCTTGGAGCAGTAGGTAGTAGAGGGGGGTTTATTAACAGTGGGACATCTACTCCTGGGCCTCTTTGCCGGTCATCTTGTAGATCTCAGTGGGGCCGTCCACATGGGTGATGGTAGTGGTCAGCTGGATGTCCTCTCCACTGTTTCCTCCATTATCTCCTGCAAACATAAACCCATCAGACACTACAATCAACACTAGCATCACGTGAAAACTAAATATCTTATTAGCATGGACTTTGTTGAGGTGTACGAAGACGTCATTATCTGTTCGAACTACAAAGTTGTCTCTGTATTAGGATAGAAGATCGGCAGTGGGGATGTTTTTTTACCCAAGTCTGGTTAAATCATGCTTATGTTTAATAGTTAACTTCATTTTCATTAGTATGCAATGTAATTTGTGCTTATTCAAAGCATCAAATTGATTTAATAATGACATTTAAATGATATATTAAATATGGCATTACATCCTTATGAAACCCCACCACCACAACAAACCTTTCATTTGGGGATATTAATATGCAACATATGGCTGATGCATACAGAATCAGGATTGAATGTTGACTAAGACCCCGTTTACACGAGGACGATACGGGTTGTACCCGCATAGTTTCTCCTGCGTATAGCCCTTTCGTTTACACAAGGCCGTAACAAAACGATAGAAACGTACCCCGCAAACGATAACGGGTCCCAAGGTGGATAGATCTGCAAACGGAATACGATCATTTTCTGATAACGATGAAATAGCCCCGCCTCCCTCTCCCCACCTCTCCTGCTCAGAGATAAGCTGCTGGGCTGTCAGGAGAGGGGGAGGAAAAGAGAGGCTCCGTTTATTATTCTTATATTATTATATAGAGTCGTTATTAATTTGTTTTAAAGCTCAATAAATAACAAAGAAGACCTTTGACCGGCAGTTTTCTAATTTTGTCAGGAAGATTTAAACTTTAACGGACATGTTGACCGGCAACATTTATTTATTTGTTAACGGAAACTCTGCCGCACGGTCCCCTCGTCCCTTGGAAGAGGCGGAGAGGTGGGTGTTTGTCATCTGCTGGTGGACTACCGGAGAGATTTACAGCAGGAGCAAACGCCGTCCACCGCGGAGAATAAACAGAAGGGCAACCATGGCAACCATGCTCCAGGGTCTTCTTCGCTGCTTTTGGTGTATTTTGTGGCGGCAGCAGTGCCACATACAGTCCCGGCATATGTACTACAGCGTTTCCAGCAGTCTCGTGTGAACGGACACGTTAAATGAATCGAATGCTTGTGAACGGAATACTTTTTAGAAAATGCATACCGTGCGTAACGCAAACGTTCCCGCGTAAATGGGGTCTAAAATACAGGGTAAAACGAATTATTTCATATGAACACAAACAGGCCTGAAGCGACCCCTTTTCAATAACATGTATTTAATGAAACGACTAATTAAACCTTCTTAAACATACATTTAAGGAATTTTCAAGCAGGTCAAGAAAGGCGTATTTTTGGACACAGATCAAGGTCATGAACTTGTATAGATTTCTTGACGGCTCTGCATACGGCCATATTCATATCATGAGGATCCCATTAATGCAGTTTTTGTATGTCTTTAGTTAGCCACAATTCTTAGAATTTAAATGTGTAAGGCATTTCTAAAACTTAGCCATCTCGCTTGCTTTTTAACCTGTCCATTTAGAAATGTTATATCAAATTATATATTTTTTGCATTTTATTATTGGATAAAATATCTGAATTCAAATAACTTGACTGATCCATGTCTGTTTTTCACCATTACAGCAACATTTGTTTCCCCACTCAGACAAACTTTTCAAAGACCATGTGAAATCAAAATCAGATTTTTCAAAACAGAATCTTTTTTTTTTTTTATCTTGTGGCAATCCAACATGATTGAAATCAATTTGAAGAAATAAAAAACGCCCAGACTTCAATTATAGACTTATTTTCCTTCAGGTAAAATAACTATCCATTTGAATAAAATATTTGGGTTCATCCATTCATATTGCGTACTTTGGGTTCCTGTTGTGCACATTCCCTTGTTTTACTGCAGGCATGAGATCTTTTGCATAACAAGTTGAGCTGAACTTTACCAACAGAGATACTTTCAGCTTATTTGAAACAGAAGTGAAACTCAAGTAAATCAACATGCAGACTGAAACTTGGATAGAGCCTGCCTGAGACTGGTTGACGCACTTCAGGGAACTCTTCCAGATCTCCAAACGTTCTTGTTCTCTCCCTGACGTCAGGAGATGGATGGATGGTTTTCATTACTCCCCCGCTCCTCCCCCCACCCTCCTCACTGTTCCCTCCCTCTCTGTCTGTCTGGAAGGAAGCAGGGTGTCCATTAGAATCACCCTCTTGGGCCAAAGATCCTTCTTTCCCCTGGGAATCTGGTTCCTTCACTATCACCGACCCTCCCTCCCCCTCCCCTGAACCAACTCTGGATGAATAGGCAGCTTGACAGCAGAGGACTGACAGAATGAAGAGGGACATTAGTGACAATAATTATAAGAAGAAAAGTTAGAGATGCAAACTAAAATTTGTTTTAATAGCACTATGATCCTGCTGAATTAGTAGATTTCCCAAGATGACATTATACAAGTCTTGCCAATTACCAGATCTTAAAATGTAATTTGATGTTTATAATAAACATCTAACATGATGCAAATCATCTTGAAACTCTTAAATGATTCTCTTTATTCTTAAATGAGTTATTCTTTGTTTATTTATCTCTTTGTCTCCCCAGGGCAGATTATTGTAATTTAAGGTTAAAAATGAAAGTACTGGAAGAAAAACGCATTGATATCTTTTTGGTCAGCCATTTTGTAGTAAGTGCTATCAGACCGACCAACTCATTTTATATTTATTTATTTATTTTTAATTCATGTATAAAAGACGTACAAAAGTGCATTTTGCATGATAGGTCCCCTTCAAGTCTTTCTCTAGTTTATATCCTAGACTCTATAAAACGTTATAGTAGTGGAGAGTAAAATGATTAACATTTTTAGTTATTGTAGTAATAAAGCAGAGACACAGAATCCATATTTTTACTGTAGAAAGTGAGTAGAAAGGTGTGGTTACCGGTGATGCACTGCCCACTGGACTGCTCGTCTCCGTAGCGTTTGTGGGACGGTGCGTAGAGGAACATGATGGCGAACACGTAGAGGTTCCACATGCCGTAGATGCCGGTGAAGAAGGCGCTGTTCACCTGCACCGTGTGCTCCCCCCAGTGCCAGTGGCCCTCGTTCACCTGCACACACACACAGGAGACACACTTTTTAGGTTGGAGCGTTGAACATATAGAGTGGTGAAATAATTACTTTTTTGTAGGCCGACCCGGAAGTTAGCATTGTAACGGCTCCCTTGAGAAAAGTCAATGGAATTTCTCTGTTTGCCACAGATCTATACGATATATCCAAAATCCAACAAACGTTTATGATACTTACACGTTTTGTCCAGCATAATAATCTTCACATATTAACTCCACTTGATTTTAGAAGTGCGAATAAACACAAAAAGTAAAAAGCTATGCAGGCTAGAAACAAAGTCCATCATGGTTGCATGGCTGCACATCACCACCGCTAAGCTAAAGGTGGCTAATGTTCGGCGTGATGACGTTTAGAAGTCTCTTTTATTCACGACACGGAAGCTTTGGAAATTCAACAGTGGAGTATTAATTTACATTTTATGTCGGAGAACAAAATCTCTTTGGCTTGTGTTAACCACAGACCTTATTTCAGGCAACCAACCAAAGAAAGGTTAAAAAAAAAAACATTGACATCAAGGCGAGGGAACCGGAAGTGGTAAAATCTCATTTCCCCAGTTTTAGGATTTATTACTGCACAGCTCTATTTGGACAGGAGCAAAGTAGCTTCTATATTATTTTCGAAATCCATAAGCATCATTGCATAAATACTTCTGTGGATGGCATTATATCTGATGTCATTACATTACAGCACTCACCTGACTGATGATGAAGAAGATAACAGTCATGGCAGCGCAGGCCAGTGTGACCAGCATGAGGAACTTAAACCTGAAAATCAGACCCTATAAAACAGGGGGATAAAGGGGAGAAAACATTTAAGGAAAATTAACCTGTGTAGAAGAGAAGTCCTGGTATACAGACATGACCTAAGAATTTGGGATTTCTTTGAATTATTGATGATGCATAATCAGAAAATGCAAACACAAGATGAAAACACCCACCTCATAGTGCAGCCGTCGGGCCTTGGACATGGCAGGAAGGGACGTCCTCTTACCGCTGATGTTGCGGAAGACTTGGAACACCATGAAGCAGAGGAAGAGGAAGTAGAGACAGGCACAGATCCCGGCCACAATTATGAACGCCATCTGAGGCAACTCCAGTCAAGGAAATAACCCTCTTTAAGAAGAGTGGTGGAGCATACTGTAGAAGTATGGATGTAATCTCTTCCATTTTTGTAGAGAAATACAAACACATCATTGTAAAGCAAGTAGACTCTGCTTTTTCCTTTGCATGGAACTTAATTGAAAACCAGGAAGGGAAAAACATGGAGTCTTTGGAAACCTTTTTGGATGAAATGTACTGATGAATCTTCCATTGCTCAGCTCTGCAAGCAAAGCAAACTAACAGGTACAAGCACATAAACACATCGTCCTGACGCCCAGGGAAATGCTTTCACATATGGCATGACTGAATTATTTCTCATCTTTTAGTCTAGAGACCGTTGCCAGTTCTTGTTTAAGCCAACTGGAAGAATTTCAAACAAATACTGCAAGAACTGAAAGTATGGCATTAAGAAGGATCATTTGGATGTGTTACATTTTCAGTAAATAGTTTTATGAGGTACTTTTCAATAGTCTATGTATTAATAAAGTTACCTCACATAAGCAAAGCAAATTACTGCTGTGGACACTGTAAACGTAACACTAGAATTAAAGAAAGGCTCACCTTAAAATAATTTAATAAAATAAAAATCACTTTAAGTGTACACTTAAACTTATATTGATTTTTAAGGGTGTGCATTTATTGTAGGTGTTCACAGCAGTACATTGCTTTGCTTCTATGTAGTAAATCTCTGATTAACTATGGCTTTTGACCTCATTCAACTCCACTTTAAAAACATGCAAACTATCACTTTTATTTAACTAAACTAACTAAAACATAATTATAAGGCCATTTACACTCTTGTGATTTGATCAGCATCATAGCCATCAGCCAAGCTGGTTGCATGAGTGATCTTTCTCTGATACTGTTGTCAAAAGGATACAGCCAGCTCAGTCCCTACATCAGATGCCCAGATGCTGTAGAAGGGATTTGTCAGCTGGACCCCTCTGGAGGCACAAAACAGAAACAGTTATGGCTTACCTACTCTTGAGTGTCAATAATGTAGTACAAATATTCATGAAATCCACACAGCATGTGAAAATTAAGCCTAAGAATAGATAGAAACAATAGTATATTTTCACGAGATTGTTAGGTATACTGATTACACACACACACACACACACACACACACACACACACACACACACACACACACACACACACACACACACACACATATATACACTCAGACACACACACACACACACACACACACANNNAAACACTCAGAGAAAGACTTTAGAGAAACACTCGGAGAAACACTCATAGAAAGCACTCAGAGAAAAACTTAGAACACTCAGAGAAACACTTTAGAGAACACTTAGCAGAAACACCTCGGAGAAACACTCAGAGAACACTGAGAAGAAACACTTAGAGAAACACTTCAGAGAAACCACTCGAGAAACACTTAAAGAACACTCAGAGACACTGCAGAGAACAACTTAAAGAAACACTGGAGAAACACTTAGAGAAACACTGAGAAACACTTTAGAGGAAACACTCGGAGAAACACTCAGAGAACACTCAGAGAAAACTTAGAGATTATCACCTCAGAGGAATACACTCAGAGAAACACTTACACACGACAACACTCACAACAGCGAACATCATACCATACCACTCTCGATGTGGAGCAGGAGAGATAACACTGACACAGAAAACGGCAATTACGCACGATCTTGAGCATCGCTACCAGGGCAAGTAACGAGAAAATTTGTCTAAACTTGTAGCAAAGTGCACACATTCAGACCGGAGGAATGCACTGGGTTTGACTGTCTTGTCTAGTAACCGTACAGCGTCAGGTGTTAATGTATCTAGCCGGCAAAAACAGTTAACCTAAAATTATACAAAAACATGGGTTAATGATTAGAGGTAACAGAGTTATTTATTTTGTTAAAGTTTCAGTTATTCTGTTTACAGTTCTGTCATCAGATTATTTAATACCATTTGTTAAAACATTGTTGTTTCTTTTGATGTGAAATATTATGCATTTAATTTAAATAAAAAGCAATGTTAGTTTTGTTCACAATTTGTTTAGTTAGTTCACCTTAGTTTTTTCTCCAAAAGAACCGATCAGAGTACCTTTAAAAGACCGGATCGATAAGCGGTATTGATAAAAGTAGTAGTACCGTTAAAACCTTAACGATGCCCATCCCTAGTCTCAACAGTGAAGTAGAAAAGACTTGCTCTCACCTCTCACACATGTCAAAGATAAAGAGGCAGAAGGAGCCGAACACGATGGGTCCGACCTGCTTCCAGTACACAGAGAACCTGTTCCTCTCTGTCTGGTCCTGAGAGAAAAGGAGAGAGCAAATGTAAGGATCACAACTAATTCAGGCTCACTGGTTTCAAAGCTTAATCTGATCAAAAAACGCTACATATAACTAGAAGCGTTTATGTGCCCCTTTGGTCAAGCTGGTAGTGCTTTACACCGTCTTACATTAACCTGGATTGACCATTTATCTTCTTTTAGTTCAGCAAAATAAAGTAGTCTTTGAAAGGCTATGATGGAACTTCAAACAATTAGCAAGTCACCCTGCAGGTGAGTGAGAAAACCATCAAACATAAAGTAAAAGGTTCCTGGTACAGTACCATGAGGTGCTCCCCGCAGAAGATGATCCAGAAGGAGAGCAGCATGGAGTAGAAGATGCCTTGCCTGATGTCTCCGAAAAGCAGCATCCAGGTCCAGTTGAAGCCAACAGAGAACCACTCCACTGGGATGTTGATGAACGTCATGGAGATACCGAGAGCAAGGATCACCCTGACGGAGCAATAACAGTCCTTTTTTACAACCATCCTTTTTTACCATCAAAACCTACATATGTGGCATCATGAAAAAAACGTTTTTAATACACATGTATTTATGCTGGTAGATAATAGGGTGGTTAAAAGGGGCCCCATTATGTTTTTGGGGGGTTTCCGTCTTCTGTAGTGAGTTATATAGATTTTGATGCATGTAAATGGTCTTCAAAGGCCAAATATCCACTCCAGAGAGTTTCTCTCCCACACACTCCCCCTCCAGCCTGAAACGCCTCCTCTGAACACCTTTTTTTTTTACTTCGCTAACATAATGACATCACTCCCTAACACTCGCTTCAACACATTGTATGTGATAGGCTAAAGGGCGGGACATCTCCAAGCAGTTGACCAATCACAACATAGCAGAATGGGCTCTGGTTTCAGACAGAGGGTGAAATTAGGTGCTGGCAGTATGAGAACAAATAAATAAAAGAGCTTTTTGAACATTAAAGCATGTAAACATGTCGCAGTAGAGGCACAACATACAATTATGAAAATGAGCATAATATGTCCTCTCTAAAGGCCATGTAATGCATGTAACACAGGTATTTTTTAACATGTAGTTTAGATATCACCAGAATAAAAAAAAATTAATTAATTAAATGACATACATTAAAAAACGATGTTGGTTCCGAAGTTTGCCGAGTACGCCACCGATCACTCCCGAACGAGCGGTGACGTCACACGTGGCAAATATTGCCATTTGATAAAATCAGTCAAAATGGCAAGCAACGCGACAACTTCAGACAGCGATAGCGATCATTCAAGCTCAGATTCGGTGGGTTATCTGGATTCAGTTACAGAAGTAGAGAGTGAACCAGCTAGCCTTTCACTTCAAGGCATCTTGCCTTATCAGTACGAGCCTCCTGCCCGGCAATCGAACAACGAGGCAGAAACTTGTGAAAGAGAAGCGGATTCCGCAGCCGGCGAGACTCGAGTCAGCAATACTGAATGGTAAATTCTGTTTTATTTAATTTGACCTGCACTAAATGTCGATCTTAATTTGTCATCTGTTCCTCACACGTCCGGCAGATATTGTTTTTTTTTTATGTTATGTACAATATTCAGGTGTACATGTCAATGCTGTGAAAGCATGCCCACTGCAGATGAATGTGTATGCTGCAGAGAGATCTGGCAGGTGATGGAACAAATAGACAGTTTGCAACCTACTGACCAGATAGCAGAGTCCTGCATCGGGTCGGGTATCCGCGGGTACCCGACGGGTGACCCGCAAAAAAGGTGATTTGCGGGTGGTATTTTTTCAAACGCTTTTTTCCGGGTTCGCTTCTGGGTAAAACAAAGATGATGCGGGTCGGGTTGCGGGTGTTGCATAATAAATATATTTAAACAATAATAATTTCGTTTAATGTTTAAATCCTCAGACCTCTTGTAAACTGTGTTCGTTATTCTCCCGTCCAAGAGAGAAGCTTTAAAAGGAGACTAAATGGAGTCTCTGTGAAAGTTCAATTGGGTACTTTAATTAAAAAAGGCGCGGGTTGGTCACAAGCATGATATTGTTCAGTCAGACAAACAGCTGTGATCCGCTCCTCGTTAGGGAAGACAAGAGGCCGATCTCTCCTCCGGTGCTGTTATATATCCTCTGCTGGCTCCTCCCCGCCAGCCGGCTCGCCTCGTCTCCAATGTCCGTTGTTGCATTTAAACAGAGGATTGGTTCTTTTCACATTCAATATATGCTTAACACGCCTTTTCTCCTCATATTTTCTTTCATCACTTTTCATTTAACACTTTCTAAACGCTGTAATCAATACTCTAAAAAATACTTCTTGGCTCGTTTGGTTTCCGGTCATTCCGGATGTTGTCACATGCTACTCTCGTCTGTAAACAATAATGTATTCAAATAAACTGTACCTTCATTTAATATTCAGCATGGTAGTATATCGACATCTATAGTTGTAGTGTTAAATCAGTAGGCTTCGGTTTGCACCACTCCATATCANTATTTGTTTATCGTATTATAAGTGTAGTTTTCTTTCGTCTGTTCACAGAAATTTGTTTACATAATTTATTAGACTCTGTCTGACATTTGTCTTATTGACTTTGAAATTGTTATTTCATTTTATTGAGATCTAACTTCGATGATTAGTAATTTGGTGACTACAACGCGATAACTTTAAATCGAATGTAGACAACATAAGTCACATACAGACAGTAATCGTACTCGATATTGTGTTGGGGACTGGACCGTATATGTCCTACAATGTTCTATCTGTCAGATTTGGAGCGTGCTGATAAATCGGACCGACGTGTCTGATAAGAAAGATAACGCTCAACGTAAGAGGCAGCTATATGTACACACCAGACGTGAAAACGATTTTAACAGAGAATCACTGTTTAAGAAAGGTACAATTGAACAGAGTACACTTATGCATTATGCTTATACGACGATTGTGTTGGACAATATCAAACGTATTGTAAAGAACACGCCCGTAACTTGTTACCGTCGGTAGCAGGGATTAGATGAGTAGTCCTCTACGATCGCTTCAAACGAATATATTTTCAGAGATCTTGGTTACGCTCGGATTGCATCCATCACGACAAACTTTCTTACACACACATATCACAGAGAGCGACGGACGTCACAGACACAGCACAAACAACACACATACATCGTGACAGATTACGGGTTAGAGGGACCTAGGAGTTCGAAGTGTGTTACATCTACACTATCGTTACACACACGATATAACAACGGAGCCGCGACACGGACGAGATATAAGCGGCGTACTAATATTTTTTAGAATAGTTGGGTGGGGTAGACGGATTTATATTAGTCCAGCGACCTTACGGAGCTACACGACGACAACGTATGTAAAATTGACGGACTATGTTTGTTTCAGTGAACGTCGACGTACGAGTTTGTATTTTGTCGTGAGATATCGTCATCTTTGACTCGTTACTACTAGCACATGCAACATAATTACAGTAGTACACACGGGGCATTAGGTACTGTACCGGGATGCAGCTCGTCCAATATTGGTGTGATTTAGACTGTGTAGTGGACGCGCGACACACATCTCTTACTACAGACGGTACAGACGTCGCACACGTCACACGTAAGGGCACACTACACACATCCTTATCATCACACTAAATCTCCTAAACTACTTAGACACACACCAGCTTCACAACACATCCTCTCCTTCGTCACACTATAAAGGTCGTCCCGTGTCACGTCGAACTACACGTACGGGGACGCCCACGAGTCAGCAACACAACACACTTCCCGCTCGGTATTACACCTCCGTCAACAGAGACTACCACAACCACACACGGACCTCCCTGTGTCTGTCTCGTCGTGCTCACTACCTATCTCTGACAACTATGTGACGTTACGCCAGGTATACCACACACAGACACGACGATTTCTCGACTTCGGTTTCTGATCACTATCGATTTGCTCGACGTCAGTACACTACAGCGCACTCTTCTACTTCTTTTGTATCGGCCACAATTGGTCTTTTTCACATTACACCACAGAGTAGTTGAAAAGTCTAAATGAAAAAATAAAGAAGCAAAATGTGGTAATCTTGACTTTGTTAACTTGTTAACTTGTTGTCCTATTCATCGGTTTTACAAAGCAGTAAATTCTTTGTACAGACACATCACACTTTATATCCCCTTTTTTATTGTTAAGTAACGTATCTCTCACATGTTTAAGACCAGTCCATTCTGTTTACTACTGTAGATATGCGAGTGATGAGACTACCGTAAGTGTTGTGTGACAGCTAATAAAAAGCAATGTTAGTTTTGTTCACAATTTGTTTAGTTAGTTCACCTTATTTTTTTCTCCAAAAGAACCGATCAGAATACCGTTAAAAGACCGGATTGATAAGCGGTATTGATAAAAGTAGTAGTACCGTTAAAACCTTAACGATGCCCATCCCTAGTCTCAACAGTGAAGTAGAAAAGACTTGCTCTCACCTCTCACACATGTCAAAGATAAAGAGGCAGAAGGAGCCGAACACGATGGGTCCGACCTGCTTCCAACTTCATTTTGGAGGCAAGTATTTTACTCTGTACTCCACTATATTTATTAAACGCTCATAATTACTAGCAGCTTTGTGCATATGAAAACGCATGAGGTGATGCAATACGTTGGCAGGTATTTGCTACAGATAACAACTCAATTATATTATTCTAAAACACTGTAAAAAGAGCCTTAAGTGTTTCAATTCAGGATTTGTACTTGTAATACAGTATTTTAAGATCACAGTTATTCTACTTTTACTCAAGTGAAGGACTTTAGTACTTTTCCACCCCTGTCGACATGTGATGCTAGGAGTAGCACAGGTGTAGCTAATAACATTAATTATGTCTGGTTCCATCTGGGTGAGACACTTCCTGGGCTCTACTGCTGTGCCTGCTGACTAACTGACATGTAACTGAACACAGCCATGGGTATTGTTATTTAACATCAGTGTGTGTTCCACTTCTGCTTTTTGCAGACCACAGAAATATTTTCTGTCAATTTTAAGAAAAGTTTGACTCAGCTGACAGATGTTTCTGTAATAAATTGAGATTTTCCATTAATCTTCTTCATCAACCTTTTCTGCTAAGATTCTCAAAAATGTGCCCTCTTAAATTCAAATATAATCTAGGTGTGCCATTTTTTGGTTCATCAAAAAATAATCTGCTGTCCACAAATAATGTACAAGATCCTGAGAGCCTGCCGACTCCTCTGGGAATGAGAGCCTTGAGCTGGAAGATACAGAGGGAAGGAGAGAGACTATGACATGTCTGCGTGTGTGTCTATGCCCAGAATGTGTGTTTGCAGCATGTGTCGGCTGAGTGCTAGCTTGCAGATTTTGTTTCATGCTTGGCCAGGCACTTCCTGTGGCGCCTCTGACTGATCTGTCCTCCCAGCACAGCGGGGGGTTAGACAAACAGAGGCTGAGAGCAGAGCTCCAACATTCAGGCCCCGTCCACACGGAGACGATATCAGTTGAATCCGCTAACGTTCTCTATCGTTTAGACGGTTCATCCACACAAGGCCGACATGGAAACACGGATTCGGAGCCCGAATCCGATACACGTTGACAACGGCTCCCAAAGTGGGCAGGTCTGAGGACGAAATGCTTGCGGCTCCATGTGTATGCCCTATACCAGGGGTGGGGAACCTCCGGCCCGTATACGGCCCGCGAGACCATTTGGTATGGTCCTCGAGGTAATTTATAAAACACGCAAAAAAGAAAAAAATTAAAGAAATCTAGACCGCAAAAGAATTAAACAAGCGAGTGCCTGTTTTTACTGGCCAAGGTCAGGGTCCTTGAACACAACACGAGCCTAACGTGTCATCACGTGGTATGTCTCGTCTAACAGGGGTGCAGTTCTGACAGAGAGAGCACCGGAACGTCGCTCCGGCACTTGAACCAGAAATTGAAGTACCCATAAGGAGCCGTACACATGCCGCAGTTTTTGCGTGGTTGTGTCTTTAGTTGAAAGCCCCATCTGTTCATCTGTCATACTGATCATACAGTCAATAACTTTGTTGTTGTTAGCATCTGGTTAGCTAGCTATGCTAACGAATATAAGAAGCTTTTTCTCCAACCAGTGAGGTAAAGGCACATCTTTATATGATAATTATAGTTATAAAAAAAAACAAGAGAATAAAGTAAATGGGTATAAAATACTATATGACAGTAAAAATGAGTTGTTATTAATAAACAAGAAGACAGTTTGAAAGGAGAGTGATTTTTAAAATATCCATAAAGAAAAATAAATCTGCTTACAGTTCTGTTTCATATGGGTGTTGAGAGATGTATCCATAGATCTCCTAATGTTGCTCTCAAAGTGCACCAGATTGATGCTTTAAACTTATTTATTTTAAAATAAATCTTCCCGGGGGAGCATGCCCCCCGGACCCCCCTAGAGGAGGTTAGGTCCCCCCCCCACTTAATTAATGTTCACATAGATAGGAAACTAAATACAGTTGCACACATCTTGTGTCCATATCCTTCTGTTTTGGTGGTCATGCCACACCGTGCACGTGCATGCATACGCGAGTCATGGCAAGATATCTGGATTAAGAGTTTGCTTTTTCTTTGCACAGCATGAAAGAAAGGCCAAATGAATGGGCTGTGATTTTAGTTTTTTTAAGCAGAGGTCAATCATTTGTACGGCCGTCGGAGGATGTTGAAAAAATTCAAATGGCCCTTGAGAGCAAAAAGGTTTGCTAATGGTAACACAAGCCAAACATGCTAAATCATATCAGAAGGCATCACCCAGATTTGGCAATGGGCCCGACAAAAGACAACAGCTTATCCCCGCTGCTTTCAAGAAGCCAATAGACATGAAAGCCGAGGGACCAAAATAAATAACGGAAGCTTTTGGCATATGTTTTTCAGCGGCTATGCTGCGCCCTTATGCAATAGTAGAGGACCCCGGCTTTTATTGATTGTGATTGAAACACTATCTCATTATTTATATTGTAATATTTTCAAGACATTCTTTTTAGTTTTACAGTTTATTGAACCTTTTTGTTTGACATCAGCCATTATAGATAATATGGCCTTCTGAGTGTGTTTGTGGTTTGTTTTTAACTGCAATAAAAGTTAATTATTCAAAATGTTAGAGTTCCTTATTTCTAAACTGAAACTTGCACTACTGTTCAAAATAAATAAAAAACAAACCTGGCATTATGTATTTGGGACTTTTATTTTATTTTTCTTGTTGTACCGAACCCGTACTGAACCGAGACCCCCAAACCGAGGTACATACCGAACCGTGAATTCTGTGAACCGTTACACCCCTATAATATACTATTGATAGTTAATTACATTGAAGACTTTTCTTTTTGACGCTGCCTTTTATTAAATAAAAAACAATATTCTTATTTTACACTGCACTGTAACTTATATTTCATACCAGTGTTATTCTATTTTAGCTGGTTTTAACTTGTATTCTTTTGGCTTTAATTACTTTATTATAATATTCAAATGTAATTTGATATTCGGTTTATATGTTTTTTGCTATATAAAACATGCCTAGTCTTAAATTACTAACCAAAAAAAACAAATAGGATCTTTGCAATAAATTGATCAAATTAAAATGTATAGGTGCATCCCTTATGATGACATATGGTGCCAAGAATACAACAGTATAGAGGGAATATCAGTGAGGGAGCTGCCTTACTTCTCCAGCAGCACAGGAGATCTGCTCATCATCAGGATCCTCCTCCAGTACCAGATCATGATGATGAGGATGCTGGGAGTGAGGAAGGTCTTCATCGCAAACCACACTTTGGTGAAGCCTCCGTTCTGGTGGATGCTCTTAGAGAAGAAAAAAGGAACCAAAGTCAAATATTAGCTTTTTGAATGTTTCCTGGTTCCCAAGCAGGCGCTAACACCACCTCACTCGATGGCAAACGCCCTCAGTTTAATGCGTAACCTTTAAGAAGTTTACCGATCAAATGCCAACTCACCACGAGACGAATGTCCTTGATCTCTCCGATCCCCACGTTGACCTTCTTGCGCTCATTGACAGGCAGGCGGATGTTGAGCAGGTAGTACTTATGGGCCACACTGCCCACTTCCATGAAAGGCAGCAGGTCACACTCATAGTAACGGCCCTCGTTCTCAAAGGTCTGAAAAACACAGCAACACACCATCTGGTTCAAAACTGAAAGATGTACTGCACTGTAAACCCCTCTGCAAAAGAAATGTAGCTTTTAAATCACATCAATAAATAAAACAAGTTAATAAGCCAACACTGGTGACATCAAAGTTTCATTATGATGAGCAGCATCCAAAGTCAGAATTTTTTTTTGTGTGATGACTGTCATATCATGAAACTGCAACAATACAAGCTCTAAGGTTCGATTAGAAACCAGAATTTTCTGGAAGCTGAAAATCCCCATGTCATTGTTTTAATGCAGGGTATATGTTTCGTTTGAAATAACTTTTTGTGGTGCAAGAAGTCATACCCCGAGAAATTATTTGGCATTGTAGCATTTCCAGTGAGCTCGTTACGAGGTCAATATATATTTTTTAATTATATTTTGGTTAGATTCCCGTGGTCTGTGGTTAACACAAGCAAAAGATACTTTCACGTTTTGTTCTCTATAAGTAAACAGCTTAACCTGGTATACACCTGCAGCTTTTACCCGTTTTTATAACAGCAGTTGCTAACAGTTGACAAAAGACTGAATGTCATCAAGCCAAAGATGAGTCCGTCTTTAGCTTAGGGGTGGTGATGCGCAGCTGTATGTAGTCTGTTTATAGCGTCAGCTTTTATTCCTGGCAATTACATTTATGCTTTAAAAATAAAATGTGGTGTTTATATGTGGACATTTTCATGTTGAACAACTGTTTGCCACATATGTCATTATTGCAATATCTAATTGAAAAATGTAATTGCTCTCAGTCAAGGGAGCCCTTATGACGCTAACTTTCGGGTCGGCCTACAAAAGTACATCATCCCTGCACCCCACTGCTCTAAAGATGCATCATGGGGAGGCTCAGAGTGTCATGATCACCTTGGCTGTAGTGAAGTTGCAGCTGAGCTTCCTCTGTTCGAAGGAGTGAGCCATCTCCGTCCACTCGCTGACCGTGTCGTCTCTGTAGGCCAGCCCCACGTCGATGGTGGCCAGCGATCCATCCTCTGGAACAAAGACCATAACAGCAATTCACTTTCAGATCAATACAAACATATTGTCTGTCAATTAATGTCCCCCATTCAAAATATATTTTGTGCAAGTCATTAGTTTAAAAAATGACGTAGAGCTTGCAGAGGAGGAGTGTTTTGATCCATCTCAATTGTTACTGTGATAGAGATTTATGATTTTAGGTTCTTAAAATGTGTATGCGTGTGCTCACTACTTATCCAATCATTACACTTAGGCCCCGTCCACACAAAGACCAAACGGGTTGTATCCGCTAAAGTTCTCTATCGTATAGAACAGGGGTCTCCAACACGTCGGGCAGCTTTTCAGTAGCTCGCTGCTCGCGGTTCACTGACTGTGTAGAAAAAAATCCGACGACAATTAATGCACTTGAATCGCTCGCTTGTGTCAGACCACGCTTAAACATTTGCCAGGGGTGGACAACAACAGCGATAGCTAAATGGGGGGCTACAGCTTAACACTGTGGAGGACGAGGGGCTGCGTTAGATAATTCGGATCGTATCCAACGTGTCGACTGCACATCACAGCGCGTTATTTTGACCCACAGTGGGAACTTCAGTCTCATGCTTTGACTGAAGATGAAGACAGAGGAGCGGCATTTCACCGACAACTGTAAACAGGCTTGTCTGTTTGAGTAACTGGCTCAGTGCAAAGAACTAGACAGGGTTGGGAGAGAGTGTAAGAGAGAGAGGTTCCAGGTTGTTGTGTTGAGAATATTCAGGAGAATATTTGTCATTGTTCCAATGATAATAAACAAACATTTGCATAAAGCATATTTGTCCATTCATATATTAATTAATTACAAACTTGAAAAATATTCCTCTAAAAAGGTACATTTAGAACAGATACAAAATGTGCGATTAACTATGGACATCATGCAATTAAATATTTTAATCGACTGACAGCCCTAGTTTTTATCCAAAGGAATTTACATATACTTTAATTCCATGGACACGCCTAAGGGAGCAATTTTTGGGTTCAGTTGCCCAAGGTCACTTTGACACAAAGCGCAGGGGCTGTGGATTGAACCACTAACCCTCTGATTGGAAGACACACATTTAGACCCTGACTCACAGATGCCCATAATAAAGACCAATAGAAAGAAAGAAAATGCAAGAATGCAAGGGCGTTGGTCAACCAAAAATCTTGGTAGACTGGTCGAGTGTATTGTTCCCAGTAGCCTACAAATTGAATATAAAACATAAAAAGCAATTTTCAGCAAGTTCAATTGTTATTCAATTAGCTCTGATAGATCTTTGACATCGTAAATACCACAAAAAAAAAAAAAATCGACCAATTACCCGATACTACCCACAACTTTTGCCAGTAGAAAACCAAAAAAGGACAGTTCCAAACAAGTTGAGTGGAACCATGACGGTATCATGCAGTGGAAAAGGGGCACAAGACATTCTTGTTGTTGTAATCCGTTGCTTATTATACCTCCTTCGCTCAAAGAAGAGGCTGTTATTATTCTAGTGATAGGATCAAATGAAGTCCTGATGACAGACAGCCACTGCCTTTTAATTATGAAACAAGCCCAGAGACATCACTGCTGGCACTGACATGGAGACAGTCCCAAATATATATCATTGCTGCTCATATCCAGGTACCACGCAAGCGTTTCTATAAGCTGATACCACTCCAGTTTGGTACAGTGTAAAAAGGATTAGGAGGGACATTTTAAACCTATCATGAAAGTGCTCCATTGCTGCAGTTCTAACCAATGTTAATATATGAAGGCTAGATTTTCAACTAGGCTGTTCATAGTTGGTTTATTGTAAAACAATCAAGGTCAAATATTTCAGTGTTAATCCTGTCACCTGGGAGGAATTGTATAGATTACCAGGATTATTTCTCAGCATGTAAACATATTCAGTGTGCGCTCCATGGTGGCCCAAATCTAGATTACTTCCTACTTGACATTCATTTCAACAAGAGCTTGAGGTGGCCTCCAATATCCCATCCCGGTGAATCCAACAAAAACATCCAGCGCCAAGCTATTAGAACTGCATCTTTGGATCACATTACAAAGCCAAGTGTTCTCTCCTCCAGAGTGCCTCTTGGCCGTTATGAAACAAGCTGGAGTGAAGAGAAAGAAACTCGGTGGCCTGTGCTGTTAAGAAGAAAAAGTAGAGGGAGGAGGAACCAGCTGAGAACTGGCAGCCGACTGTCTGTGTAATGCCCTCCGCTCTGCCATTGGTGGAGACAGAGGCCCACCAACGTGAGCCCGCTTCATGCTAACATTCCACTCCAGTCCAGCGGCCATTGCCACAAAGACTAAGCCTCCTCAACAGCTGTGTTATTGCTGGACTCTAGCCAAGGGGGTGCTCTCAGGTTGGAGTGGGGCAGGTGGGTGGAGTGGTTAATAAGGGCGAGCCTCGCACATTGTTCCACAGATAAGGCAGACTTGGAAGAGACAGACTTGTGTTTATTCATCATACAGAGAGTCATGGTTCAGACAGGCTGATGCCATGGTGTCATTAAGGAGGACCTGGGTTAGCAGGTATTGGGGATTATTAGCATTTTATTAAATCTGATTCCAGAATGTAACTAGTGCAAGGAATCTGTATCGTATCAACTCAGTTTAGGTTTGATATCAACATGTTTAAGGAGTCAAAGTAACAAATATGTTAATGATTGAAAGCCCTTTACTTTTTCTGTAATTTGGCAAAGATTCAATGACAACCTTATTCCATATTTTTTTCAGATGGTAACTTGCTTTAAACTGAAACACTAAGAAAAGTTTTACCTAAAATAATTTGTTTTGGTATTGTGCAAAATGACTATCGGAATATGCTATTCCCTAAAGGAGAGAATATTACATTTGTTAACACTAAGATAAACACATGTTTGCCTTTATCAAAATAAAAGCACCCATCAGAACCCAACAATTACTGCAGCTATTTTATAAGACTCGTGCTACATACGGATGTTGTAAATAATAGTTTAAGTTCCTTCAATGTACTGCTTGATTTTACTTTCCATGAAACCAAGAAGAGTCATATTTGAGAAGGATATCTATGAAAGCTCCATCAATGTGCAGAGGCATCAAGTGTTGTTACACCTACCATGCAGTAAGCAGATATGACTTTATTATTATAATTACTACACAACAGGCCAAAGGCTTGAGTGTGCTATACACAAGTTAGCTAGTACTTTCAAGCACAACTCCCCTCAGGAGAAACAAAACAGTCAAGACACACTGCAGAAGGTTTCTACTACAAGCAGCCTGTACAATACTCTTGTTCTCGCAGCACCTCATGTAGATCAGACAGTCAGTGTGAGACGGAGCGGTCGGGGGTCCGGCCTGACTCACCACTCCTCTGTTTGGCAGCCAGGCAGTAAACAGCCGCAGCACAGCTCCACTGAGGCTGAGAATGTGAGCAAGCAAATGATGCCGGTGAGTAGGCCGCCACTGGAGCATGACTGTTTAGACAGGCCGGACTGGAAAGGCCGGGTCATATAAAATGACAACATAAACATTTGATCTCTATGTTTACAATGACCTTCCTCTTCATTACAAACTAGCCTACGTTGGATGAATCAAGTATTATGGGTACTTGTCAGTGTGGACTGTGTGTCAGAGGTTGTTATGAAGCAAGAATGTGTATGCACTCTAAGCCTTGAAGCGGAAGATGTGATTAGGAGTCAAAACCTCTTTCCCAGGCTCCGCTGGTGATCCAGTCACTTATGAGACTCTGTCACCATCCTCCCTCTTACCAGGATCCCTAGCAGGATACCAAACCCAGTCTTTCTCCAGACATGAGTTATCTCCCCTTTCCTCCCCCATTTCTCCACATTCAAGCACTGAGCTGATGCTAAGGTCTGTCTCTAACCCCTGACACTCATTGGTGGGTTTCATTACAATAGACACGAGATATTTGAAACAGCTCAGGGCATTCAATTAAATCCCTCTGGATTAAAAGGGTTAAAGAAAATCTGAAAAATCGTCTGTCAACCCTCAAAGCTTTAAAATACTTCAACGCCCATAGATTGTCAGGACCATGAGGTAAAAAAAAGATAAACTTGTGCATTTAGTTCTTCTCTGATTTGTGTACACTCAGACTTTTATAAAACCCAACCAAGAGGAGTACACAAACATGAAGTTCTACACACTCAAACAGCATCAGTATCTGACAAAGTTATGCAGCACTTTGATGCTTCCGATGCGTATATTTTTTGCAAAATCGCCCACATGTAATGAATAAAAAATAACAGGTACAGTATTGATTGTGGGCTCATTACTGTGGAATCCATGTCACACATTTATTAAGGGACTTAAGTGACAAATTATGCAAGCTCTGCAGTATCTGAGCCATTCATCAGGGAACACCCACGCTGAAATGCATACGTGTTACTATGGTTACTAAATGGTTTGCCTAAAGAGGTATATACTTAAGCAATAGCTCACGACAGGCCGTGGTATATGGTCATTATATCACAGCTAAGGGGCGTGGTTCGGCCCGACGCGAAGCGGAGGGTCGACAACCCCCTTAGCTGTGATATAATGAGCATATATCACGGCCTGAAGTGAGCTATTGCTTTTATAAAACGGTTTCCAAGTGTGGCAATATGAAAGAAAAATACACACTCTAATTTAAATAGTTTTTATTAGTAAATAATGATGTTCAAAATAAAATAGTCCCTCCGTTGCCTTCTGCACAAAACATAGTGCAAGGTGGTTGCTATGCAACAACACTAACAGCAAGCGAACATATTAGACAGAGAGCGTTGATCCATTATTTGGCTGTTTATTTACATTAATGTTGTATGTTGCTGTTTATTGTGCAGCCACTGAAAAACTGTCCAGCATCAGTAGCATGGCTTACGTGGTCACTTGTATAGGTTGAGGTTGTTCGAGGCTGTTGCTTGGCGTGGCGAGAATATTGCTCCACTTTCTCCGGTCCCCGAGATTGGGCTTCCAGTAGCTCTGGAGCAGTGGTCGCCAACCAGTCGATCGCGATCGACAGGTCGATCGCGAGTGTGGTGCGGGTAGATCGCGGACCGGTTAAAAAAAAAAGTACAAAAGAAAGAAAATTAAATTAAATAATAATGTTTGAAAAATACGTTTTTAGATGTAAACCTTATCCATCCACCACCCCGTTAGCAGGTGCCAACTTTGGATTGACGTTTTTATATTTGAACACCTCAATAATATAATACTTAACTGCTGCTTTACGTGAACCTCATCATGACACAAGAGACAACCAGACTGTAATTTCCCCTGTTCACTGAACGCAACAGAGGCAAGACCACCACACCCAATCAGAGAGTTGCCATGGAAATACACGTTTTTTGTGCTTTGTGTCATTCAAGCTCGTTGTGTCTGTAGCAGTGTCCTCCGCGGACTGCGAAATGAGAGGCTCTACGGAGCATGTCTTGTACGTCACCGGCAGTTACCGCCCTAGACACTTTTGCGCACCCGTCATTTTTTGTTTTCCAGCTGCGTCACCAAGTGTCTTTTAATTGTTACATGTCTAAATCCCCAACTGTTTCAAGACTGTTTCTGTTCTCTGTTTTATGGAGTCAGATCTAGGCTTTTACTTTGGTTGTTATATATATGTTTAATTTATTTTCCCGAGGTCGCAACATGTTGCCCCGTGAAGAGGGCTTATTCTCCCCGCGCATCAGTGGATAAATTGTAGTCGTGCTCCCTATCAAACAATATTGTTTGCATGGTTAACAAAAGAAGTTAAATAGCTTGTATGTTACAATATGAAAATCTATAACAGTTGGTTTAGAAAATATTCCTTTCTATTTTTATGTATGTTATATATTTGAAAGCAAGAATCTCCAATTGCCCGTATATTTAAATACATAAATCTAAATAGGTTTACTTTTCTTTCATGGTCGTTTACTTTTGGGTGAGTACATTTAAAACGAATCCAGCTGAAACGTTGTAGCCGGTTGGTGGGCCGTTACCAAGCCCTATTATTTTTTAAACTCATTAGTCATCCGTCACCCGTTGCATCCTGGGATTATTGGTATCCCACCGCGGAGTGTACATCAGATGTATCCTCATAAAATATCTGGGGAAGAGCTGCAATTTGCGGGGGCCGCATTTCGAGGAATTCTTGTCTTTTTTTTAAAATTGGGACGACCTTCATTT